GTCACTCAATAGTTCACTTTAGTCTATTTAGTAAAGAGAAAAAAAGGGTGGATGAAAAAATAAAAAATGAAAAATGGGATGGATAAAAAAAGTTTTCACTGTTTAGTATGGAAAAAAAATAGGAAGGAGAGAAAATGAGATAGCACGGATGAACGTTTGGGCATGAACATAACTTCTACTATTTTAACCCATATTTCATATTTATCTATATTATTATTATTTTCTAAAAAGTATCTTACAAGGAAAAACTTTTATTTTCTTCTTCTATCCTTAAACAATTATATAAAGACAATCATATTCTATTTTTTAATTTAATTCTTAGACCATTCCTATTCTAGGTATAAATATTCAATTACAAGTGCAATGAATAAATTTAAATCAATACATCATTCTTTTAATTACAATAACAAAATTAAGTTACACAACACACACACGTGTGCGTGCACACACACACACACACTTAGTCTATTTTATTCATTTGCAATTTTTGTACATATTTTATAAAAGCAATTGGATTCATTGGTACACCTAATAAATTTATTTTTGCCTTTCAATTTTCTCTTTCAGATGCCGAGTTTTCAAGTATTTCATGAAAGCTATTAGATGCATTAATTAATCTAATGCCATTATTTTTGGTTTTTGGTTATCTCCTTAAAAAATGTCCCATGTATATACCTCTTTCTCTCTCTCTCCTCTCTCTCTCTCTCTCTCTCTCTCTCGTAACCGTAGGAGTCTCATATTAATATTTTGTTGCTCTTACTGGTTTTGAGGTAGGATATTTTTAAATGTACTCTTTCCACTCTTAGGAATTGAACATGACTTCACTTTTGCTTCAACAAGTTTTCTAATATGAAGTTTGGCTATTACAGGTGACATATTGCCCTTCTTTTTGGTTCTTTCAAATATGGTACGAGTGAATACAATGTTTGCAACACCTCTCAAGTAATACCATGTTATAAATTATAACATGGTCTTCTTCCCAATTTTTGTCTTATAAATTTGGCTCTTTTGGATTCATTCTCATTATACAAAATGTTGAGTTCAATTTTTCTAATGCATTCATCCAAATGTTAACTATGACCAAAGTAATCATTTCCATTATACTATCGTTATATGCTTCAAACAACAAACATGATATGCTAACGGATACCGTGGTGTTAGAGAGTCATTTTTTTCTTTTTGTCTGACAGACATTATTGTCTTAGATGCGGAACCAAATGACATGATAGCAATTGACCCACTTCTTTTGGTAAATTAAATCATTTGTTTTAAAATTTTGAATCTTACAATATCAAAAAAAATTTAATAATAATGAAATGGTGCGGTCTAAGACTGCATGGAGGAAGAAACAAATTTCTTTGCCCTTGGAAAAAATGTGAGGTTTTTTAAGTTTTAATGTGTTTTTTTAGGTTTATTAACATTATTTTTGTTTTTGCAAGAAATAAAGCAAAGTTTGGTACAAAATGCTGCCTACCACTGAAATTAAATTCAAAAGTGAATTCTTTCTATTCATATGTTAATTCATCATTACGAATAAAACGTCCTAGAGAGTTTCATGTTTAAACAAATAAAATTTTATTATTTCTCCTTGTTAGCCAAAAGGAGAGAAGACAGAGAATTATTGAACAATATAGCATTTAAAGCTTTTCATTTTTAAGAAGAATCCAAAACTCAAATGGATTTTTGTCTTATACTGTGAGGTACAAGAAACTAACGCTTCAATCTTTGCATTCCTTAGTGATAATGTGTGTATCTAAGCAAAAAAGTCCTTCCCAAATTTACTCATGAAATGACCAAAGTAAGTTTTTTTTTTTTGGAATTTGCTTATCAAAAGAGATTATCGGTTGGTTGATAGTCAATATTCACTAAAAACATGAATTTCAGAGAAAGTAATTTATTAAAAATATGAATTTCAAAAGACAATAATTTATTAAAAATATGATTTTTAAAGAAACTAATCCACAACATTAATTTACAATAGTTTATTCATAGTGATTCACGTTCAACATGTGTACTAACTAATACTATAAAATGGGCCCAACCTTCAAGAAAGCAAGAAATAACATGGCATTGGCATGTGCTGTCCAGGTTGGCTCCAGACTTCTACCACCGCCAAGCTTGAACTTGTGCCAATATTTACATAACATACACCCTTGAACGTTTCAATCCTAATTCAGCCCGATATATAAAATATTTAGACAAAATTTTCAATATTCAAATTGGGTTTGGACATGAAATTTCAAGTAAGTTACTATATAATGATTACATAATTTCAAACATCAGCCCGGCAAATGTCGGGTACGTGAACCGCACATCAAGTTGACATTTTATATGTTTCTTATTGTATGCAGCGGATGTGATGTTATAGTAAGACTGAAGTATAACAACCATGTCGGTTTAAGTTTATCTATGCATCAATCGATTCCTATTATGTAATTTTTTTTTGTCATGTAATGTTTAGTTTATCTTGTGCTTGTGATATTTGATCCCAACTTTAATAAAACCAAATAAAAAAGTATTTTGTAATACAATGATTAAATAGAGTTTTTTCTCATACCCAATAGATTAAATAGAGTTTTATTTTTGCTGAGTTCAATTGGGTGTGCAACGATGGATATAAAAAATTATTGCACTCCAGGTGATAATATGAATGATTTGTAAATCTAGACATCTAAAGTTCGTATTTTAATAACCTCTTCGGAATAGATCATAAGAGATTTGTCCGTCATAAATTCTTTAATCCTGATACTTTTGATTGAATTAAGGAAGAAATTAATCAAATTGTACATAAACTAACTCAAACACCTTTAATCGTTCAACGAAACAAAAAAATTTTATAGCAGCTAGCCATACATGCCTTTAGGTAAAGAAATGTAAACACTCTGCCTTTTCTTATGATACTATCGCATCAAATCATGCTCTCACGGTGTCTTCCGCATGTAACTACTACTCTATAAGTGCTGCGAGCATTAATTTAATTGGTTTCGATTTCGGTGCTCTAATTTTGTCAAGTGGTGCAATAATTAGGTATCATATCCTTAAAGAAAAGGTAAGCTTCCCAATAGTTTTACAGTGCTTCTAATTATACTTTATTTAGGAATGTAATGTTGGATATAGTCCATTTTTAGTAGGCACAATTTAATGCTGAGGCTCACACTAATTTAATTATAACAAATTAATTTAATATTAGTTGTGAATTTGAAAATTGGATGGAGCATTCTTTCAATCCAAATTAATTAGCCTTTAAACTAGGTCTTCAAATTATGTCAAAATAACATTTTTCTTATTAAATTTTTTTTTTTTTTTTTTGACATAGCGGTAAGGTTGCTCCTCCTAACATGAACTTCACAATCACAAGTTCAAATTATAAAAATAATATGTGAAGTGAAAAATTCGAGCACCAAGTTATCTTTTATCATTTAAATTTGTAATATTGAGGCTTCCAATTCAAACACGTGTGGATACTAGGGGTGGCTGCCCTAAAATCCCTACCTAACCGTCCAGAATATTGTAATTAGCAGGTATAAGAATGGAGAGAAAGGATGGTCAAATGCATGTTCCACTCCCTGACAATTAAATCAAAAAAAAAAATAATAATGATACAGCTCATCAAAACTTAAATATAAAGCAAGCGGGTGCGGTGGGTCTTATTATATCCATATAGTATGGACCATATTGGCCACTACACAGTTCAACTTAAGTTGTATATTCCAAAGCAGCCACCATCACTTGGAGCATATATAATTCCACCCCTACACCCATTTTCAACATCCATTGCTGCTTAGAGAAGAACGATTAGTGTTTTTGATAGTGTTATCACAAAAATGCCTCTCCTCAAAACCATTCACATGGCTTATCCATATTATTCTCCACCCCCACCATCACCACCTCCTCCTCCTCCTCCTCCTCCATGTAACCCACCACCACCACCACCACCACCACCTCCATGTAACCCACCTCCACCTCCACCTCCACCCAAATCAAAACCACCACATCACTTGTCGCCACCGCCACCGTCACCGTCACCGCCACCGCCACCACCTCCTCCTCCTAAAGGTCCAGTGGCGCCATCACCGACGCCAACACCTCCTGGTGGTTCAGGCATGCCACCTACTGCACAACCACCTCATTATTTACCACCACCAACGCCTGGTGGCCCTAACGTGCCACCTCACACACCTAGTGCGCCACCAACCTCGCCACCAACGCCTGGTGGCCCTAACGTGCCACCTCACACACCTAGTGCACCACCAAACTCACCACCAACGCCTGGTGGCCCTAACGTGCCACCTCACACACCTAGTGCACCACCAAACTCACCACCAACGCCTGGTGGCCCTGTCGTGCCTCCACCAACTTATGGGCCACGATCACCACATGGTGTACCACCAACTGGCACCATAAGCCCGCCTTCTTTTGCACCACCCACACCATATAATTCTATTCCACCATCATCAGGTACACTGACTCCACCACCGTCGGGAGGCGGCGGCGGCAATCACACGACTGTTATCGTAGTGTGCGCCTCACTCGGTGGTCTTTTCTTCCTCGCGTTTCTTGCCGTTGGTCTCTTCTGCTTGGCAAAGAAAAAGAAGAAGCCGGTTTTGATTCCAGCAGCACCTTGTGTTGAGGAAGGTGAAGTAGCCGTAGCGACTTCATATACCGAGGAAAGCGCGGCGGTAGCAGTTTCAGATGACAGTCAAATTCATGAAGTTGGAGGTATAGGTGGTGGTGGCGGCCACGGCGGCGGATATGGACCAGGTGTGGCTGGGCCTGGGCCTAGCCATCAGCAGTATGGCTAGATACACCATAGCCTGCACAATCAAAAGTTGAGCAAGTAGATTGCATAGTGTGTGCATTTGTTTATAGGTACTTCTAGCTGCAGCCACCACCACCCCCACTCCCACCCCACCAAGCCCCAAAACCCGGGCCCCGTCACACCACACACACACACACACAGAGACACGTCATTGGGGATTTTTATGTTTTTCTTTGATGAAGATGGACTTTTGTGATTGCTTGGTTGAATTGTATTCATTCATGTGTAATGGAAGTAGATTGAAGTGATTGTATTGATTGCGTGAATAAAAGAAAAATATATTTTTTTTATCTCTCTTCTTATAAAAGGATAATATCTAAATACTAATACTATTTGGACATAATTTCGGGAAGAGCAATGTTATTTGAACCTAAAAATTTGACATAATTCACTATTATCTTTTAATTTACTGTGGACACCATAAAATATTAAAAATTGCTCTTGATCCAATAATTTTAATAAAATCATATCATTACATCAACCAATTAAGTCAAATTTTTAAATCTAAATAACATTACTTTTAGATAATTAATGTATTATAACTATTGAATTAATAATGATACGCATTTAATGTTGAAATTCACATATAATCTAATAATCATAATTAAGTCATTAAATTATTTCTCAATTAGATAGTAATCAAAATGATCGCATAAATATGACAGCATTGTGACGTAGTTTTCATTTATTTGGACTTAAAGCTAAAAGAGACTTACTGTAGTTGATAAGAGCATATTGACTTTCACAAGATTAACGGATGGACAAAGAAAATGAACTATACTTAGTGCGTTTGGTAATGGCAATAGCAAGACAGCTAATGACTTGATGCTAACCTAATACTTTCCTCTAATTATATGTTGAATGACAATGATGATTTCAATAAAAAATCCGACAATTACATTTAGAATAATGTCAATGTAGCAGGTCTAGTGACAAAACATTCGGCGTCAGATTATGGGAGGTCCCTAGTGATAGCCCTTGTTTTTTCAACCGTGAGGATATTCGGGTTAGTTTTTGATGATATCAAGTGTTAATTCTGGAGTTCAGTTCAAATTAGAGGGTCAGACATATTAATTGAGGTCAAAAGACAAGGATTGAATGTCTATTGAGGCAAGACAACGGTTGAATAACCATGAGAGGTTCTTAAAGCGTTAGGAAACTATAATCAAGACACCTAATCTCAATTAACCAAGATTTTCTCCTAGAATTAAGGAAAACTCCACGAAGTAAAGGCAAGAATCTCGGCAAAGATCCCATTGAATAGGGAACAGCCCTATAAATATTACATAACACCCCCAAAGAGCAGAGATGACCCTAAAGGCAAAAAATAGTCATTGTACTCTTGTAATCATCATTTATTAAAAGGCAATGAGCAAGAATCTCCATTAAATAGTAGATTAGTCAAGGTCCCGAGCTAATAAACCACTGTACTTCTTCTGGGTTAATCCTCCCAGCCCCTAGAAAAATATTTCTTTCATTATCACATCACTATCACTGCAAAGCATAATTACGATTTATTACTCATACAATTCGGTTTACACCATCAGTTCGGGTCCCTTGTGGGAAAGGAAGTTCTGAGGTCGGTGAGGCATGCAGTAGGGATGGCGGGGCCTTCTGGATAGAGGCAGAGGCAGAGAAAGTACCTATTTTTTGAACCTTAGCTCGAGTAACTGGGCTCCCACCAGAACTGCCCTAAGCCTTGCGCTTGGTACCACCTTTGTTTTTCTTCTTCAATAGATCTACCTTAGCTTGGAACATCTCAGGGATAGGCTTCATTGTAGAAGACCCTAGAAGATTTGACTTGAGCTGGTTAGTCAAAAGAAAAAAGAAATGGAAGAAAGCAATGAAATCAAATAAGGTAAAGAGCATTACCTTCTACATCCTCAGGTCGGATAAAGGAAAGTGGGGTTGGAGGAGGACCGAATCCCTACCTTTCTAATTTTTAGGGTTTAATGAGCTCAGAGTACCTCCCTGGATTACATTTAGCCAACTTCAGCTTCATCCGCTCGTCTTCGACGCTAAGTTCAGGTCGAATGCCTAAAAAAAAAAAAGATGCAGAGGTCAAGAAAACAACTCATAAATCTTCATACTGCAGTTCAGTCAGGCAATAACTCACCTAAGTTATTTGGGATTGTCCAGGCTTTGGGAATCCTAAGAATGTCTATTTTATCAGCAAGGTTGTATTCCCAGTTAACACCCCCAACGAAAAAGAAATTATTTTTTCAGCCTTTATGAGAACTCGGGAGGTGTGTGATGATCTGCCTAGACGAGGTCCGCCTAGAAACATATAAAAAGCCCTCAGTTGAGATAAGCTTGACATTGAAAAGGTCTATAAGTAGAGAAATGGTGGGAGTCCCAAGCCCATGTTTCTTAAAAAAAACTAAAACACCCACTAAAACACCCCAGAAGTTGGGAGAAAGCAGAGCATGACAGACATTGAGGTGCTGCAGAACATTTTTTATGAAGGGGTGCATAGGGAAACGAAGGTCATTCTCGAAACAGCCACAAAAAAATAAACTCTTTTGTGCACTTGGGCAACGTATGGGGTGAGTTTATTCGGACACTAGGAGGAAAGCCAAAACGAGCACTAAGAGCTTCCATGAGAATATGATCCACCCCACTGGAACCCATGAGCTTAGCATGCCTGAAGGCAACCCCTATACCCGCTGTACTATTAAGAATTTCAATATCACTCACCTTGCCCTTACCCTTGTCAGCACTAAGAGGTACATGAGAGGAAGATGAGGGGAGTTCCTTGGAGTCCACCTTAGTATCGACAGCCTCAACACTGGAGAAGTTGTCAATCTTATCACCTATATCTCCTAAATCAGAATCCCTCTTGGTAGACTTGTCACCTAGGAGAGAAACAAATGAGAGAGTTGCTCCAGAGGAGGCAAACATGATTGGCAAAGAGAAAGGCAAGTCGAAAGAATTATAAAAAGGAGGAATACTAACTAAACACCCCCTGATAATCCTAGGGTCAGCACTGTACCTCCCAACAGTAAGAATTCGTATAGTGGAGTTCCAATCTACAAAGCGGGGAAGAAGAGATAGGCAACGATCGCGATTCCAAAAGAAAAAGAACAAAAAAACCCAGAAAAACAATGGCCACCTCGAAGTCGAGGGATCCAGAGTGAGGAAAGGCAAGAGAAAGAGAAAGGGGTAGAAGGAAGCGTACCTAAACAGGGAAGAGAGCAACAAACAACAGCCAAAAAATAAAATTGGAGGAGAAGAGCAAAGCAGGACTTCGAGTCGAACCCAAAAAGCATAGTTTTGAGCAGAGAATAAGAGAATCGAGTGGAGGAAAGCTCATAAATCGCAGAGAGAAAGAGCCAAAGACAAAGGTGAACAGCGTAGAAGATGAACGGTGGTTCTGTACAGTTTTTGATAATCGTTTGAGCATTTAAGACTTGAAAAACATGGGATGAATCGTGCGCAGAAACCAAGGGAGTCATGATTGCTGTAATCGTCGAAAAGCCCCTCTCACGTGCATCCCACACGCAAACTAAGGTTAGCTAGGTGCAAGTCTGGTCCAAGGTAAAAGCAGCTCAGCCCATGCCCAAGTTCGCTTGGGCTAAGGGTTGGGAGGCAATTGATGATACCAATAATTTCCTGCGTGGATTGGTGGGTGTTGGTTGACTAGGGCTAGTTGTCCCGAATTTCATTTCCACTTATTCTTCCATTCCTTTTTTCGCACCAAACAAACCATGACGTCAATTATAAATTAAGCACTAATGTCACAAAACTGTAGATTATGATGCTAAATAAGCAGACACATAACTCAGAAATTGTTATACTAAACCCAAAACAACTCAAGTGATAATAGAAACGAGTTATAAATTTAGACGTCTTAAGTTTGAATCTTGATAATTTTTTAAAATCAAACTATGAGAGATTTATCTTTCATAAATACCTTAATTTTGGCGTGAATAACCTTTGGCCGAATCGAAGAAAAAATTAGACAATATATAAATAAGTTAGTTCGAAAATCCTGACCGTTCAATTATGAAAAAGAAAAGAAACCTTTATACTAAAGTTCTTGAAATTGGATAGAGAGGCTAGTCCACACAATTGTATACTTTAAAGTGCAGTTTTCGAATCTTCCCCTTTCTTGTATTGTTACGACCCAAAAAAAAAAAAAATGTGGTTGAAATTGAGGCATGCGTTATTTTTAATAAAGGAAAATGTTTTTTAGACTTATTTTGGATAGATAATTATTTACGAGTGATGGATTAAAAATGAATTATATTTAACATTGAAATTTCATAATAAATTCAATAACTATATTGAATTAAGTTCCAAAAAATCTATCCACCGTAAAAAAAAAAAAAAAAAAGGCAATGTGGGCTAAGACTGATCATAGCAACGTTTTGCTCCATCTGATAGGACATGATTGAAGATCAGAAAGCAGGATAAACAAAATAAAGATGTTTTCGATTTCTTTTTTTTATTATATTTTTTTGTTTGCTTCGTGCCTTTTTTTTTTTTTCTTTTGAGTGAAAGATACTCCAACTCATTTTGAACATAAAGATTTGTCCAAGTCAAACAAATCTTATCCTATTTCAATAGTATATGTTGCATTTTGAATTTCAGAAAAATTGATTGTAATGATTTGGACAAATCGGAGGAGCCTAACCCGAGTCACTTCAGGACCATGGTCCTACCCCGGTTGGAGTTTAGCTCCATGGAGGTCACTGGTTCAACTCTCTTTGTGCCCCTCACATGTATCAATGTGTCCAAAAAAACCCGGGTCAGTTCTGCAATTAGTAGTAATGGGTCACAGTCTGATGGCGAACAAAGCCAGACTTGAAAGGATTAGTGGAGGAGGTCAGCTTTGGAGTCCAGATGATGCAAAGGACATGAAACTTCGGAGTAGTTTCTGGCACATGAAACATGTGTCCGAAGAAAGTCACCAGGCTACATGCAATTTACAGTACATATAAAACTCCGATAATTTCAAGGTCTATGGCTCGAAATGTTGGG